AGTAAATAATTAAAATAAATAGTGATTATAAATTTATACTAATTTTTTATGAGCATGTGGTAATTTCTGTTTTTTAGATTTATTTTAGGCAAAGAATTGGGAGAAAAAACTTATAAGAATATAAAGCACTAAGCTATCAATATAATAATAGTTTTTATATTGTAGTAATTATTATTTTGGTTATTTTAGATAGTGATAAATTTTATTTTTTAAAATTAATTTTTGTAAATTTGAAGAATTTAAGTAATGTCATTTAAGATATATATTGTAATTATTATATAAAAATTTTATTTTAATTTTATCAACTATCTAATTAAAGTATTTTACGTAATATTGATATTAAAAATAAAATTTCTTTTCATAATTTGTTATGTTAATTAATAATAAAAATATTTAATAAATACACTTAAAAAAATCTTAATATAAATTTCTAATTTAATGCCAACTCAGTATTGATGTAAAATACCACCTTATTGTCATATAAACAATCAATCCCACCAAAAGCAACTTTTCATTATAAATTGACAAGTGTCTAATGTAAGCTGTACAAAAAGGGTTGATTTGTAATTATATAATAAGTTGAGGGCTTGATTTGTGTCTATTCTTAGTTGAGGAGGCTGATTTGCCACCATTCATTGAGTATGAGGGCTGATTTGCTTTTTTACCTTTTTTATTTTTTAAGATTTGAGCTGTACTTATCTCATTTCGTGTACCAGCTGATAAGTGAAATATCGGTTGATACATCGAAATTTAATCAAAAAACTAAAATTTGATCGAAATGAATTTTAAATCAATACATTTCAGTTTAATTAAAAATTTGGTACATACCAACAGTATCAACTGATACAAAATGAAATTAATAACTTTGCTATTGTTCCTTTTCACCTCACACATCACTTTGATTATGGACTGCAGAGACTTTTTATGCGCTTTCCATCAGATCCAACTGAGGCGTGCAATAAGAGAAAGCAACGTGGCTGCTGATGCATTGGCTAAGAAAGTGGTTCATGCATCCTACGGTTTCACATTTTGTATGATTAGGGGTTCATGCATCGTATGGTTTTCACATTTTGTATGATTATCCACTTGATGTGGACCTTTTGTGTATTGTTGACTATGTTGGGGTTCGCTATCACAGACATTAAGTATTTATAATATCATTATCGTTTCTATCCAAAAAAAAGAGTGCAAAGGTCATTTAATTTCCCTTTACATTGAAAATATTTTGGAAAATGTTAAACCCATGATTTGGAGAGGGCTGTGTGGGCCTGCAATGGAGTGGGATTTACATAGATCGAAAAGCTGTGGGGGAGTCCAATGGAGCTCTCTTCTATCATTTATATTCTAATTTATAGTTTGGTGTAATTTCAATTGTAAAATAAGCAACCTTACATAGATTGAGCTGTTTGTTAGATTTTACATTTAGAAATTATACATGAGTCTTTTATTTTATAATATGAATTAAATCAGATTGTAAAACAAGAACTATTAGAAAAGAAAGTACCTCAAACACAAATTCAACCTTTTCTTATAGTTTGAATACTAAAATTATTGAAATTCTTTTAATAAAACTTCTTTCTATATTCATTCATTAAGGATAATTTAGCGCTTTAGAATCGGATTGCCCGATTGAAAAACATGAAACTCAAAAAAGAAAAGCTTTTGTATGGTGTGATTTCAAATTTTCCATTAAAGGTAAAGAAGAGGAACTGGAAATCTGCTAGTCTTGCTTCCATAGCCCATCAATGATCAGAAAGACGATATGGACCACAGTATTTCTCCCTACAACCCTATCTAATCTTTCGGTATGCTTGGTTCGAGGAAGACAAGGAAGATTTGTAAGAACAAACTCACTCAACTCAAATGAATACTTATGGTTTGTTTTCTTCCATGCATGCATTAGTGAGAGTACGTTTCTTTCTTGATTAACAGCAAACGATATCAGATTCAGGAATGTTAGCAGCTAAAAAATTTACACTTATCAAAAATTACAATACCTTTTTAGAAAACTGTGTTTAACTTAATTTTAACCTTGACGGCAGAAATGATCTTTTCAAAAGATTGGTGAATTTAAGCCTCATTAGCGTTTGAGTCTAACAAATCACCATTTTCTGTAATTTATTCACCAGCATTCCAAGCATTTTCCTGTCATGATGAGCAAAACACAAAGTTTTGAGCTTCCAAAGGGAAATAATGGCGACCATGTTTAAGTTCAACTACAAGGAGCACATGCAGATATACGTCTACAACTATTTTTACATAAATTTTGATGCTCTAAATACACAAGCATTATGCAAAGGCTATGTACAATAATTTCTCTATACCATACTCCCTGCATTGTAAGACTATTTAAACTGCTTGATGATAGCAAAACAGGGCTGTAACTTGTAATCCTTATATGCCTAAGGGGAAAGGGCCATAAACTCATTCTTCGGGCCTTTCCATATCACATTGGAGATGGGGTTGTGCAAATCCACGGTCCTTTTTCAACATTGTTACTCAAATTTTGAGTTGCTGCAGTAACTTCTGAATCCTCAGCCTCGGAACTTACCACAAAACTCGGAAATGCTAAGTTTATATCCCTGAATGTCAAAAAGTAAACCAAAGATGATCAATACCAACAGCTCATCTGTTATATTTGTCAAGGTTTTAAATCAATGGCACAAAAAGTTAATATGAGATTTACCGCGACTTACTTTAAGAATGGGAGAGTCATGTTCTTTAACAAAGATGGGTGCTTTGAGGCAAATTCTTTCCATTCATCGGGATCAATTTTTCCATCACCTTTTAAATCTGCTTCATTAATTGTCTGGAAGAGATGACAAGGTTTTAGAATGACAAGAGGAAAGATGGTTTAAAGTAAATTCAGATAGCTAATCAGGAGGTACTGTCCTTCACCTTATCCACAATTGTTTGAACAATATCTTCTGAAAGAACCAACTCTGATTCATGCAGGAGTGCCAACACCATCTCCTTCAACTGAAAGAAATATTACACACAAGAATTTTAGAAACAATTGAAGTCCTAGTTTACACAAGTGTGCAGGGTTCTTACAATACCAACCTCCTCATGCTCTATGAAGCCAGTTTGCCTGAGGTCATAAAGTTTGAAAGCAACTGCACAAAAGATTTACAAACTTTAGAACATAATTCATTGAGATTGATCGTTAATGAACGTACAAAAGATGGTCCAGCATGCAGGCATTATTATCTAGAGAAACTGAACTTACATGCAATTTTGTCTGCAACTGGCGCATTTGGGTGGAACACACCCAACGATCGAACAAATTCTCCAAACTCAATAACACCATTATGCTTGATGTCAAATAAATCAAAGATCTACAAAGCCATAAAAGATATTTTTTAAACCAAGAGGCTATGGCATTAAAAATCAAAACATTCCTCTAGTAAAACACATAGCAATTAGCATTATAAGCTATTCAGCATTGCTGCAATCTCAAGAAAGCTACTCTAAGCAATTAATTTATGCACCCTGTCAGTGAAAAGATTCCTCCTATTTTTGTTCCTGAAAAGAGCAAGCTGGAGTTCTTCCTGTTTACAAAAATATGTAAAAATTATTATTTGTTCAAATATATCTGACTCTAAATATTGGAGTAAAGAGTAAAACTTATGTTACAAGTTTAATATATGTTAAATTGTAAGTAATTAGTAACCACAGTCAACATACCTTGTGAATGAGCCCATCAGCGAAGATTGAATTGCTTAGTTTCTTATATAGCTCATACAAGGCTTCAACTTCACTAACAGTAACTGCAAAGAAAAGAAAATATTTCATGAAACCAATAACTAAATAGCTATCTCTATTTGAGGACAAAATGGCTAATTGCAGGGAAAGATGCTGTTGAGATAACAAGAATTGGAACCAGAAAGACAAAAATTGAAGGAGAGGGGATAACTAAGCTGGCAGGATTGCAAGCTGTAGCAGGGTAGTGATTGGTACTTACAAGGTGTTTCAGCAGCAAGAACTGCGGGCTCTTCATACCCAGGAGTTTGCTTGCTTTTCTTTGAGAGAGCACAACCCATGAATATGACTAGCCAATTCAAAGACAGTGCCTTTTGACAGTATGCTCATCTGACACAGCTAAAAATCATCCACATATTAAAATATGTAACTTAAAATTCAACCAAAAAAAAAAAAAAAAATCTTTCCCCCACAGGCATATATTATACATGTTATTTATAGAATTCATATGGCCAAATCAAGGAATGGATGATCAAAAGTAACTATGATATTTCCTCTGATGCTGAGACCCAGTTGTAATACTACTGTAACCAATGTCAAGCCTAAGGAACTGATCAAATCTAATCATGTGAATGTCACCTCGGTGTTTACATACATGAAAGTTGTAGAATGACAGAATTGAAGGCAACTGCTTGTCCAAAAAAATTCCTAAGATGAGAAAGAATCTGAGCAAGCATATAATTAGTTAGTATAGAAAACAAACACTTGTTTTGAACTGTTAACATTCAGAACATAAGTTGAGTGCTTTGCAAATTCTTTAACAAGTCTCATAAATAAATATTAGGACATTTTTAAAAAGGAAAAGAAAACACTACCTTAGAAAAAGCTATAAATGCTCATACAAAATTAGTTCAACAGCAGCTTGTAATAAAAACTTAAAAGTAATTAGCCACTAGCATCAATCAACATCAGAATCTCCTACAGTGCAATAATATTAAAGTGAGCAGCATTAGGTTGTTCAAATTTGCCAGAATAATATAAAAGATCAGCAGAGCTAAATATCAATATGGTCATCACCTCTACAGTAGTAATTAATGATTGATGAGGCCAAAAGGCCAGCTCACCTGATTAGAAAGTAAAAATCACTATGAATCATCAGGAAATACATTGTTTAATCTTCAAATCTCTAGTTAATAGTCAGATATTGCCCGTGGGACCAAACAAAAACACCATATTACAAATTTGAAAACTCTGTTTGATATTCAAAAGTGTAAATACAAAGACAGCAGAAAAATTCAGAACTTTACAACAATATAAAAATTCTCATACATAATCATCCCGTAGACACCAACAAAGCTTCAATAAGCAGATTTGACATCCCTTAGATTACCTCCAAAAAAATATTAATGAAAGTCACGAGGCTTATGATTTCAAGCCCCCAACAGTAATCTACTAAAAAAATTGAAAAAGACAATAAGTAAAAAATTTACCTGCACCCTTCCTCTTGGTCCCCACCCAAAATGCCAAAAAAAAAATAAAGGAAAAATATAACTGAAAGTCTGAAAATATCAAAATCAAACTAGAGTTTTCAAGATTCAAATCTGCATCACCATTTCTAGGTAAAATAAATGTAGCCAAACTCTGAATTGTGGGGATGAGACCTTGAACTTGAGGAGAACAGGAAAGCAGGATAGCTGCACCGAGAATGGGGAAAGAAGATAAACTATGTCTGAAAACAGCATGAGCCTCCAACCTAAAACAATTAACAATAGATGGACATGATGTAGTCCCTATTTATAGTTAGGACAATGATTGGTATTTCCTTCAGTTCAATAAACTTATTAAAAAATTATTATTTTTAAATTTGAATTGAAGGCGGAGATTCAATTATAAATTTTAATGATTGAACTGGAAGGTATTGGTAGATGTGTTGAATGAAATGATATTCCAATCATTTTCCTTATAGTTAAGTAACACACATATTTCTTCTCAATTTTTTGATAGGGCAAGGCAGTGGTTCAACCTGTGGGGGAAGGGGGAAGGGGGTAGGGAGAGGAGTTACACAGGTTTGAACCGTCAGTTGAGGAAACCTTTCATATAGAGATATTTGACCAGTAAGCCTGAAGGCCTTCCTCTTCTTAATTTTTTGTAAGGGATTTCGTCACCTAACACACACCCGAGTCACGTGAAGGCCAGGCTAAAAGTCAGATACTATACACAGGAAGCATTTATTTGCCGATTGCCCATTGTTTGGGATCACGCAGCAAATATATCCTGGCCTATTTGAAACAGAATGATTAATTCCAGAAGGTAGCTAAAGAAAGAAGCGTGGAGTTTCAAATTTTCTCAGCAACCAAGCAAGGGATAAAAAAAACCTGATTGAAATGAAATTATTTGCCTTGTACAGACTTTAAAATGAAAAGGAAAAAAGGAAAAAAAGATAAAAGAGAAGAAACTTTTTAAGTACAAAAACTTGGATGTTTAGGATCTAAAATCTACCATTCCTCAAGAAACAAAACTTACCAAACACAATTTGATGGTTTTAAAATCCTGATATTCCCAAATTCACATTTATCATCCTTCAAGAAAACTACCATGCATTAGCAAAGAGAAGGTAGAAATGAATCCCATTTTGTTTTTGAGTTTAGCAGTACTTTTGTACAACTGGAAATATGTCCTACTAGGAAGAATAGCAAGAAAATGCTAAAAAGAAATTCTCAAAATCAAATTTTCTCAGCAACCAAACAGAAAATAGAACCCAACCCCACATCAAAAGGAAAAAAAAAAAAGAATCATATTTCACAGGAACCAAGCAATCACTAGAAAAGTAACAAAAATATGCAAGAGAGAAGCAGAGGATAAACAAAATGAAACCCAACAAAGAACACCAATCAAATATCAAATGCATGGTTTCACCAAAAATATATATATATATCTCAAATGCATGGAGAAATCAAGGGAAACAGAGAACTGACCCGCTTAATAATGGGGAAAACTAAGAGGCCTAAACTTTTGTATAAGAAAGAAGCAAAGATCTCAGCTTTTCTGAGTGTCTTCCTTAACAGAACCAAAAGTGAGGGCTTGCGTCTTCATTTTGCTAGTCTGAGGAGAATTTATAATTGCAAGCAGTGGGGGAAAGGGGACCCCCAGCCGTCAACTGTCGGAGGTTCTATTTGATTTTATTTATTGCGTTTTTATAACAATCGATGTGTTTATGAACCGACCGCTCCGCGCAGTGGTATTTGTTGCCGGGTTAAAATTGTTTACTTTTTTTTTTTTTTTTTCGTCCCGACTAATACGGACTCGACTTGTTTTGTGCACTTGGAAATGATGAGTGGATCTCTCAGCGGGGCTGCTGCATACAAAAAATCTCAAACTCGAGATCTTATTTAAGTTAGAACAAACCGCTTACCACTTGATCCAATATTTACCTTTTTTAATTGCACGTTGAAATTTTATAAAAAAAAATTTTTATTAATTTTTAATTAACATGTAAATAATTATAATATATTTTAAAAAAATAATTCATATGTTTATTATATTTTTTAAAATTAATATATATTAAAAATTAAAAAATATAATTTTAATTTTATTAATTATTTGATTAAGTGTAAGTATATGATATTAATAAATTTTATTACATGAATTTATTTATAAAATTAATTTATATATATTTTTTTATAAAAATTAAATATAAAATTATGTAATTAATATGTGAAGAATGCACAAACCATTATTTATTTATTTACTTTATGTCTTTCCCCTTTTCACCTAATTTTCCCATTTCTCCCTTTTTGATTTTGTCGCCACTACTTTATTACATTTTCAATCATCCCCATGAACATGTTGTGGGTGTTTAATTTGGCTAATATAGTTTTCTTTTTTTCTTTTTTTTTTTTTTTAATGAATAGCTCCCTTTGTTATTTGTTAGGATCAAATTGTTAAGTAATATATACCAATTGTTATACACTTACTAATTAACAATTAACAACTAAAATATCAATTGTTCTTACCAACTAAACCAAATAAAATCGTAATAATTTTTTAATTATTTTACCTTTTGCTATAATAATTTTTAGAATTATAGGCTCCACAAAACATAAAAAAGATATATTAGGCTCCACCATTCTAATTTTAAATTAAAAGAAGCCCACTTAACAATTTATCTAAAGCTTACGTGACTTTTAAAAGCTAGCAAAAGACAAATCATAAAAAAGATATATTAGGCTCCACCATTCTAATTTTAAATTAAAAGAAGTCCACTTAACAATTTATCTAAAGTTTACGTGACTTTTAAAAGCTAGCAAAAGTCTACGTTATATTCTTGAATTTACCTTAAATTTTTTTATTAAATTTTTAAACTTTTATTAAAATATATAAACCTTTAAACTTATCAATTTAAGTAATCTAATTCTCTTTTTTACTGTAGACTTAATGCCTGTTTATGCATATATAAGGTTAATACCTATCACGTAGGTAACAACATATCAATACTTTGTCTAGGAAAGCAATTCATAAACAGTTATTAATTCAATTATAAAAAAAAAAAGAGTTAAATTATCCAAATTAATAAGTTTAGAGACTTATTTACTTTAATAAAAGTCTAAAAATTTAATCAAGAATTTATGATAAATTTAGAAACTTTAATGTAAAATTTTGCCTTAAAAGTTTACATTCAAATTAGTAGTGATAATCGAATTGAGATTTATATATCATTTATAATTGTCACTATATATTTTTTTGAATGAAAGATTTGGAGAACTTTTCAACATAAGATTTGAGATGTAATTAATTAATTAATTAATTAATTAATAATTAATCTTTTTTATCATCAATAATAAAAATTGATTATGACACTTACACATTACCTTCAATCTCATTTTGATTCTGACATAAAATTAGGAAAGTGAATTGCGTCACATAAGAACATAGTTAACTTCAACCTTTATATTAAAACTCTGACACTCTAGTTGCATTGAGGGAGTTAGAGGAGAAAAGGAGGAAAATGAGGGAGAGGTCTCTCCATTATCTAATTTGGATAAGTTTGTTAAAACAAACAGAGGTAGATGGAGGAGTAACCGAACAGGTAATCAAACTTCTTTCAAATTCTTTATTTCTAATCTTTCCAATTTGAAAGAAGTTGGAATGATTTGATTTTATTCTATTTTTTCTTTATACTTTTTTTTCAATAATGTAAATTAAAATTTCTACTTTAACTTTAGTTTTAAGATATAAAATAATAAATTTTTAATTAATTTATAATTAATTTTCTTTAATTTATTATAAAAAATGTAATCTTCCCCCCTCTTCTTCATCTTTTTTTAATCTATCCAAATAAAGTTAGTATTAAATTTTACTCTTCTTTCCCTCCTTTCATTTTTTTTCCTTTATTAACTTTTATCCAAATATATCCTAAGTTTGAATCTGAAAATGAATAAAAAATAATTTAAAAATAATATTATTTATTGTATAACTTCATGAATAGTTATGTAAAAATCACAAACGAGTTGGGAGAACATAAGAGGTGGAGCATTCAAACCAGTGACAGAGCCTCGAAGGGACCAGGCCCCCCTGGTCTTTTGAAAATTTTTAATATTAGTCCATAAAGTTTATATTTTAGTGATTTCATTTTTAAGTTTTGTTTTGTTCATCCAATTATACCTAATTATTCTTTATATTTATGAAAGTAATTCATTAGTTTTTTTTTAAATATTGTTGTTATATTCAAAATATAATGTCAACATAGGTAACTCTAGAAGAGGAATCTATTGAATTAAAAAATTACCTTTTAATATTTAATATTTTTTCTCAAAAAATCAATATGAAAATCTTTAAATTTTTAACTTTTCTTTACTTTGTCCATCCTGCCCCTTTTTTTTTATCGAAAAACCTTAGATCATCACATTTTTAGTGTCTAAAATTTGTCTAAAATATTTATTTTGGTAACTAATATCTATTTTTTTTTCTAGATCAAATATTAAAATTTCACCCCTAACTCATAATTTTTTATTGAGTCAATTATATTTATTTTATCTTATCATTTGCTATAACAATTTTTTATCTGTTTCGAAATTTATTACATATATTTTTTAGATGTATTTTATTCTATATTTTTTTCCTCACTAATACAATTAAATAATTATTCACCCCTCACCAAAAATTTCAAAGAGTAATATATTTCATATTGACTAAGGCAAAATTTGATTTTTAACACAAGTTTACAATTTTACAACCATATGTTACCCCCCTTAGTCCTTTTTTTTTTTTTTAACAATTATCATGGGTCAGATTGAACCGTTTGCCTTAGGAGGAGGGGGGAAGGTGAACCTTTACAAAAATAACGGATGTCACTCAACCCTACGAGCCAAGTTCCCCCTTTAGTCCTTTTTAGTTGTTCTATTCCATTAACTTTATACTAATCAACTTAATAATTCTATATAATAATTTTTTTTTATCTTGATTACAAAATAGGAGACAACCATCTCCATCCTTTATTCCATCTACATCTACATATCATGTGACTTAAACTCAGGACTTTTTACTTCCAACAGAAGGAGATGACCACTAAGTTACTTAGGTTGTTGACAATAAATTAATAATAACTAAAAAGGTTTTTGATCTAATTGAAAATATTCAAGACACTATGTTTACAACTTTACAACTATATGCTAGTCTATTTGGTCTTTTTTAGTTGTCTTACCCCGTTAACTTTTTATTAATCAATTTGATAATTTTACACGATGAATTAATGACAATTAAAAAAAATTGATATAAATAAAAATATTTAACAAGTATTATTTTTAGAAAGAAAAACTTTTATAATTATTATCTATTTATATTATATAAAATCATTAACTCAAACTTTACGATAGACGACCAACCCAAGAAAATAATCTTTAAATACAAATTTAATCCTCTCATCTTAAATTCTTGACTCTGCTACTCATTTAAACCTATAAAACATGAATAAGATGGTGACAATGAATTTTTTTTATAATTGTTATCTATTTATATTATATAAAATTATTAAGTCAAATTTTACCCTAACAATCTACCCAAAAAATTAATCCCTAAATACAAACTTACCACTCTCATCTCAAATTCTTGACTCCATCGTTGATTTAAACCTATAATACATGAATGAGTTGGTGACAAGGATTTTTTTTTTTTTTTAATAATTGTTATCTATTTATATTATATAAAATTATTAAGTCAAATATTATCCTAACAATCTACCCCAAAAAATTTTCTACCAAAAAAAAAAAAAAAAATCTACCCCAAAAAATGATCTTTAAATTCAAACTTACCACTCTCATCTCAAATTGTTGACTCTGCCACTTATTTAAACCTATAAATCATGAATGAGGTGGTGACAAGACTTTTTTTTTTCCTGATAAAATATCAGAGTTGATGATAACCGATACGGGAAGAAGGGCAAATATCGTGACTTGATGTTTCAGTGTAATTTTCTTGAAAGCGTTCTGTTATAAAAATTTTAATTAATAAGGCGATTTAGATTCAATTTGCTTTCGTTTTTCCACCCTGCCTTCAAGGGTAAGGAGAGTACTGCATCAACTATACTTGTCAAAGACACCGGAAAACAACAGCCTAAAAGCCGTACATCAATCTCTAGATGTATTGACTTTCGATGTGTTTCTTTATCTTATAAATATTCATTAACTACGGTTAATTAATTATTGATATATTATTATTTTAATTCATAATTTCTCTTTCTTCTGAATTGGTATAAAAACTTCATAAAGTTTATTAAAATAATTTATCAAAATCAACATAACTCTTCATTTTATTTTGCCGACAAAAAATAAATAAATAAAGAGAGTTACATTAATTTTTAAACAAAATTTCAGGTCACTGACTACGTAACACCATGTGCACCACATGACTTAAGTTCATAAATTAAGCTAGTGAACCTATATCCCTCAAAACTTGGAAAACTCCCCAGGAACTTTCTAATAAATAAATTATGTCAGTTTATATCCTTGATCATTCCTACCCAACTTCTTAAGGGTATTACTCCACTTTACTAGACATAAATCTAGTTTTTTCAAAGCAGGATCTAAG